TTTTGTTTGTTTTTATTCAGATCCCCATTAGCTACTGAAAGAGACAGTAGCTATTCTTCCTGGGGTCTATATACTTCATGTCACATAATATAACGTACAAAGGACAAAAATGAATGTACAAAAACAAAATTATATATATACATACACATATATATACACACACCACACATGTACACCATACATACACATATATACACATACATACATACACACATACATATACATACATACACACATACACAAGCACGCACGCACACACACAAACAATACAGAAACGTTATAACAAAAATACACAGTAGCCATCTATACACACAGTAGCCATCTATACACACACAGACAAACACATCCACACGGCAACATTAACAGCAGCAACAAAAATAATTAAATTTAAAAAAATAAAAATAAAAATAAAAAATGTCTACATTACATTTTAAACATTCAATTATTCAAATAATGTAAATACAACTCAAAAATACAAAAACAAATCAGTACCATTCTTCAGTGAAAAGGAAAACTCTCAATCTTTTATGAAAATCAAGAGCATTCATCCCATCTACCAGAAACTGGGGTAGTGAGTTCCATGCCACCATGGCCCTGTAGTGCAGTGTCCTCTGGGTATGATTGGTGCATGCAGGTCAGAGGAAACGTCTGTCCCTGGCCTGTCGAGTGGAATACTGGTGCACATCACTGAAGAAGGTCAATTTAGTAAAGAGTATCTCTGGTGTTTTTGTTATTATCATCTTTCTGATCATATTAACAAGAGAATATTTGATCCTCCCTCTAACATACAGCCAGGACAACTGGTGATGCATCTGACTTATGCTGGTTCTGAAAGAACAGTTCAGAACGAGCCGAGCCGCTTTATTTTGTGCTATTTGAAGTTTGTTTAAATTTGCCTCTGTTGTGTTTGACCAAATTACAGAACAGTAATCTAGATGTGATAAAACAATTGAATCAACTAATAGTTTACATATTTGGTTTGGTATACAGTTTCGGCTCTGCTTCACTGCAGCCAGACCCCTGCCCATTTTGTTTAATATTTGCTTTATATGACTATTCCAGGTCAACATATGATCTACTGTTACACCCAGCAGCTTGGTCTCAGTGACTTGTTCTATAGATTTACCTTCTATGGTCACATTTATACCAGGGGAATTTTTTAAGTGATGCATTGATCCTAACACCATGCATTTGGTCTTTCCAGGATTAATAACCAATTTATTTTCATTCATCCAATCCTCAATTGATTTCAAATCTTCTTGTATGTTTTCATTTAAATTAGCAAGGTTAGTGTCAGACAGATAAATGGTTGAATCGTCTGCATAAAGGGCAATAGTGGCACGTTTCAAAATACACGGCAATTCATTTGTAAAGATTGAAAATAAAAGCGGCCCAAGACAGCTTCCTTGAGGCACTCCACAACTCAGTGTCTTTTTTCCAGAATAACTGCCGTTAAATAATACAATAAACTCTCTGTTAGTTAAATAACTTTTGACCCACTTGATAGCAGAATTTTCAAAACCATAGCAAGTTAATTTATTCAGTAATAAATCATGATCAAGTAAATCAAACGCTGCACTCAAATCTAGCAATACTGTCCCAATAATGTTTCTTTTTTCCATTTCATGCATCCAATCATCAGTTATTTGAGCTAAGGCTGATGTTGTGGAGTGCCCTTTCTTATAAGCAGCTGATACATCGACTTTAATCCATTTCTACAAAAATATACATTGATCTGATCATAGACTATTTTTTCCATTATTTTGCTCATAATTGGCAAAATACTAATTGGGCGACTGTTCTTTCCAGAAAAGGGCTCTTTGCTGTTTTTAGGTAGAGCCACAATTTTTGCTATTTTCCAATCATTAGGACAAATACACTTTTCTAAACTCAAATTAATTATGTGACAAATAGGCAGAGCAACCACATCATGCACCAGTTTCAGCAGCTTCACATCAATTTCATCAATGCCCGAAGGCTTGAGTTTCATGAGTTTTTAGAACATTTTCAACAACGGTCGTACTCACTTTTTCAAACCTAAATTTACACAATTTACCACCCATTATTACATCTTTGATTGAGGTCCAAGATGAATGGGAATTTGACTTGGGAGTTATGTTGTTACGTAAAACTGTAACTTTATTTATGAAATATTCACTAAGATAATTTGAAATATCAATGGGCTTAGTCAGAAAAGATCCACCCACTTCCAAAAATGTTGGTACAGGCTTGACTTTCCTTCTCATCAGTTCATTTAATGTATTCCATATTTTTTTACCATCTGATTTTATATCAGCGAACTTATTTCCATAATAAGCTTTTCTCTTGGATCTGTTTAATTTGGTCACATAATTCCTCAGCTGCTTGTACTGGTTCCACACTGTGCTGCTGCCTGATGTGGATGCTTCTTCCTTTAGTTCATCTCTTTGCTTCATAATTTCTTTAAGTTCAGGATCTACCCAGGGGGATGCTACATTTCTAACTGTCATTTTTCTCAATGGAGCATGTGTATTAATGATTGGCATGATTAGACTAGTGAAAACCTCCAAAGCTCTATTCGGATCATCCTCTAATGAAACTTGGGACCAGTTCACTTTCATGATTTCTTCCTTAAAATGTATTTCATTGAATGTTTTATAACTCCTTTTGATTATAATTTTCTGCCCTGCTTTAGGGACTTTAGTATTTCTATTTATTATAATTAAATTATGGTCACTAAACCCAACGCAAATTGAAATAGCTTTTGAGCATAGCTCAACTGAATTTGTAAACATTAAATCAATACAAGTGGCTGATTTTGTCCCATCTGTTTTATAAGCCAATCTTGTTGGTTTAATCACTACTTGTGACAAATTACAAGTGTCTGAAATGGACATTAATTTATTTTTCAAAGGACAATCCTTTGTGATCCAATCTATGTTTAAATCTCCTACAAAATAAATTTCCTTATTTAAGTCACAAACTTTGTCTAACATATAACAGATCTGATCTAGATAAACTATGTGAGCATTTGGAGGTCTATAGCAACAGCCAATCAGAAAAGGCCTAATGTGAGGTACCTGCACTTCCAGCCACAGTGCTTCCACTCCAACACAACCCAGATCAGATCGGATCTTCACTGGGATTTGATCTTGCACATAACATCCCACTCCGCCCCCGTGTATGTTTCTGTCAAGCCTATATAAGTTATAACCATTTACATGAACGAGGGAACTATCAATGTTTCCATCCAAATGTGTCTCAGATAAAGCTAGTATATGTAAATTGTAACTCTCTAAAATCCTGCTTATGTCCTGAACCTTATTTCTCAAACTACAGATATTCAGATGGGCAATTTTCAAACCTTTATTTGATAACACGTTATCCCTCACCATAAGAATTTGTATTTGTTTTGAAACTTTTCATCAAAAATAATATGGAGCTGCAAACTAAACAATGTTGACAAAAAGACAAGACAAACAAACATTCACTCACACACACATACACCATGCACACCCATTTTGCCCTCATAGTGACAAGAAAAAAAAGGCAGTTTTATCAGTCCCGATATTAACATTCTACAGTCTTTTGTGGTAATTTTCCAAAAGAAAACAATTTGTCCATAGCTTAACTAAAGAGACGTGGCTGAGAAAAATAAAGTGGCTGCTATAATACCGTTAAATAATAGTCTTCACATTTTGAGTTCATATACCTGTGCGTAAAGGCAGAGCATTACGCGCGCGATGGTTTCCTCTTCATCCTTGGTTAGACTCCTCCAGTTCAATCGTAGTTTTTACATAGTTCTCCGCAGTCAGGTGGTCAGTAACCTCTTAGTTTCTCCTCTGAAAGTTAGGATCAAAGTGGCAGGGTGGATAATTCCGTGTTTCACCCCTGCGCTCCACAATCTGTTTCTCACATCCCGAAAGCTGGCCCGTGCCTTGGCAGTCTCGGCTGTGAAGTCGGGGAAAATTCGCAGCTTCATCCCATGTATCTCCAGAACTTTCTCCTTCTTCGCGATGCGCAGAATCTCTTCTCTCACGGCCAGACGATGCATCCTGACGATCATGGCCCGCTGACCATATTTATTCACAGGTCCAACACGGTGCGCAACTTCAACCTCGGGCTCGCGCGGCAGCTTTCCCTGGAACATCTCATTAAACAGAGTTGTGACGTAGTTCGTCGGATTCCCCTTCTCAACCTCTTTAATCAGGCCAAGAATTCGGATGTTGTATTTCCGACTCTGATTTTCCAAACGCTCAGTTTTCTCACTCAGATACTTATTTTCTTGTTGGAGACGTTCATTTGCCATCTCCAGCTCTGAGACTCGACTGTTCACGCGGCATAATGACACATCCAGATCAGCAACTTTCTTATTGCACTCAATCATGCCGCACTTAAGTTCATCAAGCAGCGGTTGCATTTTATCCATCGCAGCATTCATCTCTTCGCGTATTATGGTCCGAATTAGTGTAGATAGCTCCTCAGGGTTGCCGCTGCTGTCTGCCATGTCAATCACAGTCACCTGCGCAGCTTGACCGAGTTCACTTTGTTTCTTTTGCGGTCGTTTTTTCGTTACTGGCATTCCACAAACTTAATATTCAAGTCTACTGTACTTTCATTCAAGGGTTGTCTCAACTAGGACAAAGAGACAGATCTGTTAACCACAGTTTTTACCCAGTTTTTTCGGAACTGAAATCCACCAAGCAGTTCAGCCGTGACGCATGCTCAGTTGCATGTCCCTGCTTTTCCATAAAGTCTATCTGAAGATCTGAAATTTTATGAGCAAAAATTAATAAGTCTCCTTCAGATAACAGCAAGGATTTTAATAAGAATAAGTTAGATGTAGATGCATTTCAAAGTGCTATTTTTCTTACCCGAGTAAAATTCAAGCCTCTCTTTGAGCTCTTCATTAATAAGGGAATTATCCCTCAAATCTCCCAAAAGACTCTTTACAGTGGTCTTTGCCCTTTTTTCTCTAGCCATGGAGTTCTTCCTCTGTCGTTCCAGACTTTCCACCCTTGCTAAAGCTTCATTGAGTCTGGCCTTAAGAGAGGTAGGAGAAGCAGGCAAGGCATATTCATGATCCTAGTAGAAAGAGGGATGAACACACACCAGTTTGACACCACTAGAGTATATGACCCACATTATTTCTTATAGTTATCATCTTTCAAAGCTGATATTGTCATTTTTTAATACTCACTTCATTTGGCTGTGGTTGTGAGGTTTCAGCTTTTGGGGCCTCCTGAAAGGCCACAGACAGGCTATCTTCAGCTCTTCTGGAGGTAGACGTAGTCCTGCCCTTTTCTGGCTAAAATGGAGAAACATAGTACTTGAAAAGAAATTAATTATATTTGTAATATGTTATTATAACATATATATTATATAATAGAATATATTAGTGCTGACAGCCTTATGGTGATAAACCTACTCTTTGGAGATGAACCGGGAAGCTGAAGATGGATGGAGCAACACCATCTCTGAGTCGGATAATCTGTCCTGTCCAAATCTTCCTGTTTAAAATGCTCACTGCAAAGCACGGATGGATCACTGCAGTGAATCTTTCCCTCCTCACAGCCACTTCCCACTTCTTCCTACCATTTCTGTCTCTCGGAAACCTTCAAAATGCAAATACATGAATAAAACAACAAAAACAAATATATATATATTACCATAATTCCTATTATTCCCAATTACTTCTTCCCATTTTCCTCCTTCAAATATAGAACATCTCTTCAACAAAACTCGCATTTTGATAATGAACCAAAGCTGCTGTAAGTTAGCTTGTTTGCTATTCAATAGATGTTCTGTATCTGATTTCGTTGGTGACATAAATACAATTCAGTAATATTCCATTAACAAACTAGTACAACCAATAATAATGTTAAATCGTACTTGTGAAAAGTAATCCCACGAGCCCTGTTTTGAATAGTCCGCCTATTTTGACAGCCATACGCCGCACAGTGTTCAGGCATCGCGCTGTAGGATGACCGGTCCAAGATGGCGGCCGTATGCTCGTGCCCGAGCAACCAATGCGGCGTCTATTCTATATATGTCTATGATGCTAACTGTATAGATGCTAACTGTACAGATGCTAACTGTACAGATGCTAACTGTAGAGATGCTAACTGTACGCGCCGCGGCAGCTGCTCCCATTACGAGCGTCCACTTATGGGGCCACCCTCATCTGACCTGTGTAATGACTTCAAGGGCCACGCTGCAGGGCCCTCAGCAGTCATCAGGCACACACACATACACACACACACAGACAGACACATACACACACAGTCACACACACACATACACGCACACACACAGACACACACACACACACAGACCTCCCCTATGCTCCCAGTCTCTGTTACAGATAAGTGGGGCTGACCTGACCTTACAGACCTAGCTGCTGGTGATACACACACACACAGGCACACACACAGACACACGCACACAAACACACACACAGACACACACAGGCACACACACAGACACACACACATACACACACTGCTGGCAGATGGTCTCAGAGGGGACAGGACATTCTGGAATCTTCTGGACGTTGGACACTTCTCAGTGATATCCTCCACGCTCCATAATCCATTCATTCACATACACACCAGAGAACACACCAGAGAACACACCAGAGAACACACCAGAGAACACACCAGAGAACACACCAGAGAACACACCAGAGAACACACCAGAGAACACAAAAGAGAACACACGAGAACACACCAGAGAACACACCAGAGAACACACCAGAGAACGCACCAGAGAACACACCAGAGAACACACCAGAGAACACAACAGAGAACACACCAGAGAACACACCAGAGAACACACCAGAGAACACACCAGAGAACACACCAGAGAACACACCAGAGAACACACCAGAGAACACAAAAGAGAACACACGAGAACACACCAGAGAACACACCAGAGAACACACCAGAGAACGCAACAGAGAACACACCAGAGAACACACCAGAGAACACAACAGAGAACACACCAGAGAACACACCAGAGAACACAACAGAGAACACAACAGAGAACACAACAGAGAACACAACAGAGAACACCAGAGAACACAACAGAGAACACACCAGAGAACACACCAGAGAACACACCAGAGAACACACCAGAGAACACACCAGAGAACACACCAGAGAACGCAACAGAGAACGCACCAGAGAACGCACCAGAGAACACAACAGAGAACACACCAGAGAACACACCAGAGAACACAACAGAGAACACAACAGAGAACACACCAGAGAACACACCAGAGAACACACCAGAGAACACACCAGAGAACACACCAGAGAACACACCAGAGAACACACCACAGAACACAACAGAGAACGCACCAGAGAACACACCAGAGAACACCAGAGAACGCACCAGAGAACGCACCAGAGAACGCACCAGAGAACGCACCAGAGAACGCACCAGAGAACGCACCAGAGAACGCACCAGAGAACGCACCAGAGAACGCACCACAGAACACACCAGAGAACACACCAGAGAACACACCAGAGAACACACCAGAGAACACACCAGAGAACACACCAGAGAACACACCAGAGAACGCACCAGAGAACGCACCAGAGAACGCACCAGAGAACGCACCAGAGAACGCACCAGAGAACGCACCAGAGAACGCACCAGAGAACGCACCAGAGAACGCACCAGAGAACCGCACCAGAGAACGCACCAGAGAACGCACCAGAGAACGCACCAGAGAACGCACCAGAGAACGCACCAGAGAACGCACCAGAGAACGCACCAGAGAACACACCAGAGAACACAACAGAGAACACCAGAGAACACACCAGAGAACACACCAGAGAACACACCAGAGAACACACCAGAGAACACACCAAAGAACACCAGAGAACACACCACCCCTGTCCTTCAGAACCTCCACGGCTCCTCGATACATACTGAGCCCTCGCCTTCTGGTCCATCTCTCTCTCCTTCTGGTCCATCTCTCTCTCCTGCTGGTCCATCTCTCTCCCCTGCTGGTCCATCTCTCTCTCCTGCTGGTCCATCTCTCTCTCCTTCTGGTCCATCTCTCTCTCCTGCTGGTCCATCTCTCTCTCCTTCTGGTCCATCTCTCTCTCCTTCTGGTCCATCTCTCTCTCCTTCTGGTCCATCTCTCTCTCCTGCTGGTCCATCTCTCTCCTTCTGGTCCATCTCTCTCTCTCCTGCTGGTCCATCTCTCTCTCCTGCTGGTCCATCTCTCTCTCCTGCTGGTCCATCTCTCTCCTTCTGGTCCATCTCTCTCTCCTGCTGGTCCATCTCTCTCTCCTGCTGGTCCATCTCTCTCTCCTGCTGGTCCATCTCTCTCTCCTGCTGGTCCATCTCTCTCTCCTGCTGGTCCATCTCTCTCTGATGGTCTCTTTTACACTGAGGTCTTCCTCGACAACAACAAAGTCCTGGATTCGGTCCAGATCCAGATCGGTCCCATTTGTTTATGATGAACTTCTGTTTCTGCCACAAACATAATAAGAAGCAGAGGGCGGCGAGGCCTGATGTCGGGCCGAGGCCAGATTCAAAATATCCGTTTGGTTCCTTTGGGGGGGGGGGGTCCGCGGTCACAGCTGGTGCGGGTTTGTTTAAAGCTAAGGAACCTGTTTAAAAACATAAATAATACATCAACAGCACAAAGAGATGGATCTGGAACAGTCTTCCTGAAAATGGGAAACAGGCTTATCCTCCACAGCTGAAGGACTGTGTCGTCTCTGTTTGTGATCCACAAACTTGAGCTTAAAGGAGGTTATGCAAAATACAACTGTTAAAAAGAAGTTTAAAGGTTTAGAGGACGACTCAAGACAATTGGTCCTCCCAACTGTCAATCATCCTGGTGATACGAGCTCGTCCAATAAGAGCAGAGAGTTTAGTTCTAAAAGTGGAGAAATCCTCTTTTAAAGCTTTGAGTGAAAGAGTCTGTGCGGAAGCTTTCATTAGTGCAGCAACCCTCCTCCTCCTCATCTCTGCCACAGCCCAGGATCCCAGCTCTTCATCATCTTCATCATCATCTCCATCATCATCTTCATCATCATCATCTCCATCATCATCATCATCCTCCTAATATTCATCATCCCTCATCATCTTCATCACCATCATCTTCATCATCATCATCTCCATCATCATCATCTTCATAATCATCATCATAATCTTCATCATCATCATCATCTCCATCATCATCATCACCACCATCATCTTCATCATCATCATTATCTCCATCATCTTCATCATCATCTCCTTCATTATCTCCATCATCACCATCATCTTCATCATTATCATCCTCATCTTCTTCTTCATCATCATCATCTTCATCATCTCCATCATCATCATCACCACCATCATACCATCATCATCTTCATCATCATCATCATCTCCATCATCATCACCATCATCTTCATCATCATCATCATCATGATCTTTATTATCTCCATCATCATCATTATCTCCATCATCATCATCTTCAATATCTCCACCATCATCATCATCACCATCATCATCATTATCTCCATCATCATCATCATCATCATCATCCCCATCATCACCATCATCACCATCATCTCCATCACCATCATCTTCATCATCATCTTCATCATCATCATCATCTCCATCATCATCACCATAATCATCATCTTCATCTTCATCATCTCCATCACCATAATCATCTTCATCATTATCCCCATCATCATCATTATCTCCATCATCATCATTATCTCCATCATCTTCATCATCTTCATTATCTCCATCATCATCATTATCTCCATCATCATCATCTTCAATATCTCCACCATCATCATCATCATTATCTCCATCATCATCATCACCATCATCATCCCCATCATCACCATCATCTCCATCATCACCATCACCATCATCTTCATCATCATAAACATCATCATCATCATCTCCATCATCATCACCATAATCATCATCTTAATTATCTCCATCATCTTCATCATCTCCATCATCTTCATCTTAATCATCTCCATCACCATAATCATCATCATCTTCATCATCATCCCCATCATCATCATTATCTCCATCATCATTATCTCCATCATCTTCATTATCATCATCATCTTCATTATCTCCATCATCATCATCTTCATTATTTCCATCATCATCATCACCACCATCATCATCATCTTCATCATCATCTCCATCATCATCACCATCATCATCTTCATCATCTCCATCTTCATCATCATCTTCATCATCTCCATCATCTCCATCATCATCGTCATCTTCATCATCTCCATCATCTTCATCATCACCATCATCATCATCACCATCAACATCATCATCTTCATCATCATCATCTCCATCATCATCACCATAATCTTCATCATCATCTTCATCATGATCTTCATTATCTCCATCATCATCATTATCTCCATCATCTTCATCATCATCATCATTATCTCCATCATCATCATCACCATCATCATTATCTTCATCATCATCATCATGATCTCCATCATCATCATCATTATCTCCATCATCTTCATCATCTCCATCATCATCATCATCTTCATCATCTCCATCATCATTATCTCCATCATCATCATCATCATCATCATCATCATCATCATCATATTCATCTTCTTAATCTTCATCATCTTCATTGAGCCAGTCCCCCCTCGCCTCCTCTCCTCTGTAGCCTCCTCTCTCCTCTGTGTCCTCCTCTCTCCTCTTTGTCCTCCTCTCTCCTCTGTGTCTTCCTCTCTCCTGTGTCCTCCTCTCTCCTCAGTGTCTTCCTCTCTCCTCTGTGTCCTCCTCTCTCCTCTGTGTCCTCCTCTCTCCTCTGTGTCTTCCTCTCTCCTCTTTGTCCTCCTCTCTCCTCTGTGTCTTCCTCTCTCCTCTGTGTCCTCCTCTCTCCTCTGTGTCCTCCTCTCTCCTCTGTGTCCTCCTCTCTCCTCTGTAGCTTCCTCTCTCCTCTGTGTCCTCCTCTCTCCTCTGTGTCCTCCTCTCTCCTCTGTGTCATCCTCTCTCCTCTGTAGCTTCCTCTCTCCTCTGTGTCTTCCTCTCTCCTCTGTGTCTTCCTCTATCCTCTGTGTCCTCCTCTCTCCTCTGTGTCCTCCTCTCTCCTCTGTGTCCTCCTTTCTCCTCTGTGTCCTCCTCTCTCCTCTGTGTCCTCCTCTCTCCTCTTTGTCCTCCACTCTCCTCTTTGACCTCCTCTCTCCTCTGTGTCCTCCTCTCTCCTCTGTGTCCTCCTCTCTCCTCTGTAGCTTCCTCTCTCCTCTGTGTCCTCCTCTCTCCTCTGTGTCCTCCTCTCTCCTCTGTAGCTTCCTCTCTCCTCTGTGTCCTCCTCTCTCCTCTGTGTCCTCCTCTCTCCTCTGTGTCCTCCTCTCTCCTCTGTGTCCTCCTCTCTCCTCTGTGTCCTCCTCTCTCCTCTGTAGCTTCCTCTCTCCTCTGTGTCCTCCTCTCTCCTCTGTGTCTTCCTCTCTCCTCTGTGTCCTCCTCTCTCCTCTGTGTCCTCCTCTCTCCTCTGTGTCCTCCTCTCTCCTCTGAGTCCTCCTCTCTCCTCTGTGTCTTCCTCTCTCCTCTGTGTCCTCCTCTCTCCTCTGTGTCCTCCTCTCTCCTCTGTGGCCTCCTCTCTCCTCTGTGTCCTCCTCTCTCCTCTGTGTCCTCCTCTCTCCTATGTAGCTTCCTCTCAACCTCTGTGTCCTCCTCTCTCCTCTGTGTCTTCCTCTCTCCTCTGTGTCCTCCTCTCTCCTCTGTGTCCTCCTCTCTCCTCTGTGTCCTCCTTTCTCCTCTGAGTCCTCCTCTCTCCTCTGTGTCTTCCTCTCTCCTCTGTGTCCTCCTCTCTCCTCTGTGTCCTCCTCTCTCCTCTGTGTCCTCCTCTCTCCTCTGTGTCCTCCTCTCTCCTCTGTGTCTTCCTCTCTCCTGTGTCCTCCTCTCTCCTCAGTGTCTTCCTCTCTCCTCTGTGTCCTCCTCTCTCCTCTGTGTCCTCCTCTCTCCTCTGTGTCTTCCTCTCTCCTCTTTGTCCTCCTCTCTCCTCTGTGTCTTCCTCTCTCCTCTGTGTCCTCCTCTCTCCTCTGTGTCCTCCTCTCTCCTCTGTGTCCTCCTCTCTCCTCTGTAGCTTCCTCTCTCCTCTGTGTCCTCCTCTCTCCTCTGTGTCCTCCTCTCTCCTCTGTGTCCTCCTCTCTCCTCTGTGTCCTCCTCTCTCCTCTGTGTCCTCCTCTCTCCTCTGTGTCCTCCTCTCTCCTCTGTGTCCTCCTCTCTCCTCTTTGTCCTCCACTCTCCTCTTTGACCTCCTCTCTCCTCTGTGTCCTCCTCTCTCCTCTGTGTCTTCCTCTCTCCTCTGTAGCTTCCTCTCTCCTCTGTGTCCTCCTCTCTCCTCTGTGTCCTCCTCTCTCCTCTGTGTCCTCCTCTCTCCTCTGTGTCCTCCTCTCTCCTCTGTGTCTTCCTCTCTCCTCTGTGTCCTCCTCTCTCCTCTGTGTCTTCCTCTCTCCTCTGTGTCTTCCTCTCTCCTCTGTAGCTTCCTCTCTCCTCTGTGTCCTCCTCTCTCCTCTGTGTCTTCCTCTCTCCTCTGTGTCCTCCTCTCTCCTCTGTGTCCTCCTCTCTCCTCTGTGTCTTCCTCTCTCCTCTGTGTCCTCCTCTCTCCTCTGTGTCCTCCTCTCTCCTCTGTGTCCTCCTCTCTCCTCTGTGTCTTCCTCTCTCCTCTGTGTCCTCCTCTCTCCTCTGAGTCCTCCTCTCTCCTCTGTTCCCTCCTCTCTCCTCTGTGTCCTCCTCTCTCCTCTGTGTCCTCCTCTCTCCTCTGTGTCCTCCTCTCTCCTCTGTAGCTTCCTCTCTCCTCTGTGTCCTCCTCTCTCCTCTGTAGCTTCCTCTCTCCTCTGTGTCCTCCTCTCTCCTCTGTGTCTTCCTCTCTCCTCTGTGTCCTCCTCTCTCCTCTGTGTCCTCCTCTCTCCTCTGTGTCTTCCTCTCTCCTCTGTGTCCTCCTCTCTCCTCTGTGTCCTCCTCTCTCCTCTGTGTCCTCCTCTCTCCTCTGTGTCTTCCTCTCTCCTCTGAGTCCTCCTCTCTCCTCTGAGTCCTCCTCTCTCCTCTGTTCCCTCCTCTCTCCTCTGTGTCCTCCTCTCTCCTCTGTGTCCTCCTCTCTCCTCTGTGTCCTCCTCTCTCCTCTGTGTCCTCCTCTCTCCTCTGTAGCTTCCTCTCTCCTCTGTGTCCTCCTCTCTCCTCTGTGTCTTCCTCTCTCCTCTGTGTCCTCCTCTCTCCTCTGTGTCTTCCTCTCTCCTCTTTGTCCTCCTCTCTCCTCTGTGTCCTCCTCTCTCCTCTGTGTCTTCCTCTCTCCTCTGTGTCCTCCTCTCTCCTCTGTTCCCTCCTCTCTCCTCTGTGTCCTCCTCTCTCCTCTGTGTCCTCCTCTCTCCTCTGTAGCTTCCTCTCTCCTCTGTGTCTTCCTCTCTCCTCTGTGTCCTCCTCTCTCCTCTGTGTCTTCCTCTCTCCTCTGTGTCCTCCTCTCTCCTCTGTGTCCTCCTCTCTCCTCTGTAGCTTCCTCTCTCCTCTGTGTCCTCCTCTCTCCTCTGTGTCCTCCTCTCTCCTCTGTGTCCTCCTCTCTCCTCTGTGTCTTCCTCTCTCCTCTTTGTCCTCCTCTCTCCTCTGTGTCCTCCTCTCTCCTCTGTGTCTTCCTCTCTCCTCTGTGTCCTCCTCTCTCCTCTGTTCCCTCCTCTCTCCTCTGTGTCCTCCTCTCTCCTCTGTGTCCTCCTCTCTCCTCTGTGTCCTCCTCTCTCCTCTGTGTCTTCCTCTCTCCTCTGTGTCCTCCTCTCTCCTCTGTGTCTTCCTCTCTCCTCTGTGTCCTCCTCTCTCCTCTGTGTCGTCCTCTCTCCTCTGTAGCTTCCTCTCTCCTCTGTGCCCTCCTCTCTCCTCTGTGTCCTCCTCTCTCCTCTGTGTCCTCCTCTCTCCTCTGTAGCTTCCTCTCTCCTCTGTGTCTTCCTCTCTCCTCTGTGTCTTCCTCTCTCCTCTGTAGCTTCCTCTCTCCTCTGTGTCCTCCTCTCTCCTCTGTGTCCTCCTCTCTCCTCTGTGTCTTCCTCTCTCCTCTGTGTCCTTCTCTCTCCTCTGTGGCCTCCTCTCTCCTCTGTGGCCTCCTCTCTCCTCTGTGTTCTCCTCTCTCCTCTGTGTCTTCCTCTCTCCTCTGTGTCCTCCTCTCTCCTCTGTGTCCTCCTCTCTCCTCTTTGTCCTCCACTCTCCTCTTTGACCTCCTCTCTCCTCTGTAGCTTCCTCTCTCCTCTGTGTCCTCCTCTCTCCTCTGTGTCCTCCTCTCTCCTCTGTGTCCTCCTCTCTCCTCTGTGTCCTCCTCTCTCCTCTGTGTCCTCCTCTCTCCTCTGTGTCCTCCTCTCTCCTCTGTGTCCTCCTCTCTCCTCTGTGTCCTCCTCTCTCCTCTGTGTCCTCCTCTCTCCTCTGTAGCTTCCTCTCTCCTCTGTGTCTTCCTCTCTCCTCTGTGTCTTCCTCTCTCCTCTGTGTCCTCCTCTCTCCTCTGTGTCCTCCTCTCTCCTCTTTGACCTCCTCTCTCCTCTATGTCCTCCTCTCTCCTCTGTGTCCTCCTCTCTCCTCTGTAGCTTCCTCTCTCCTCTGTGTCCTCCTCTCTCCTCTGTGTCCTCCTCTCTCCTCTGTGTCCTCCTCTCTCCTCTGTGTCCTCCTCTCTCCTCTGTAGCTTCCTCTCTCCTCTGTGTCCTACTCTCTCCTCTGTGTCCTCCTCTCTCCTCTGTGCCCTCCTCTCTCCTCTGTGTCCTCCTCTCTCCTCTGTGTCTTCCTCTCTCCTCTGTGTCCTCCTCTCTCCTCTGTGTCCTCCTCTCTCCTCTGTAGCTTCCTCTCTCCTCTGTGTCCTCCTCTCTCCTCTGTGTCTTCCTCTCTCCTCTGTGTCCTCCTCTCTCCTCTGTGTCCTCCTCTCTCCTCTGAGTCCTCCTCTCTCCTCTGTGTCTTCCTCTCTCCTCTGTGTCCTCCTCTCTCCTCTGTGTCCTCCTCTCTCCTCTGTGTCCTCCTCTCTTCTCTGTGTCCTCCTCTCTCCTCTGTGTCCTCCTCTCTCCTCTGTAGCTTCCTCTCTCCTCTGTGTCTTCCTCTCTCCTCTGTGTCTTCCTCTCTCCTCTGTAGCTTCCTCTCTCCTCTGTGTCCTCCTCTCTCCTCTGTGTCCTCCTCTCTCCTCTGTGTCCTCCTCTCTCCTCTGTGTCCTCCTCTCTCCTCTGTGTCCTCCTCTCTCCTCTGTAGCTTCCTCTCTCCTCTGTGTCTTCCTCTCTCCTCTGTAGCTTCCTCTCTCCTCTGTGTCCTCCTCTCTCCTCTGTGTCCTCCTCTCTCCTCTGTGTCCTCCTCTCTCCTCTGTGTCCTCCTCTCTCCTCTGTAGCTTCCTCTCTCCTCTGTGTCCTCCTCTCTCCTCTGTGTCCTCCTCTCTCCTCTGTGTCCTCCTCTCTCCTCTGAGTCTTTGACACATTTAGGTTTTGCTAAGAAAAGACCTGAGATAGAACAAAGAGAGAGCAACAGCCAATCACAGCGCAGCTCTAAAGCCACACTGCAGCTGTACACGCAGAGGAACACACACAGCTGTACACGCAGCTGTACACGCAGCTGTACACGCAGAGGAACACACACAGCTGTACACGCAGCTGTACACGCAGCAGTACACGCAGAGGAACACGCAGCTGTACACGCAGCAGTACACGCAGCTGTACACGCAGCTGTACACGCAGAGGAACACGCAGCTGTACACGCAGCTGTACACGCAGAGGAACACGGAGCTGTACACGCAGCAGTACATGCAAAGGAACACGCAGCTTTACACGCAGAGGAACACGCAGCTGTACACGCAGCTGTACACGCAGCTTTACACGCAGAGGAACACGCAGCTGTACACGCAGCTGTACACGCAGAGGAACACGGAGCTGTACACGCAGCAGTACATGCAAAGGAACACGCAGCTGTACACGCAGAGGAACACGCAGCTGTACACGCAGCAGTACATGCAGAAGAACACACAGCTGTACACGCAGCAGTACATGCAGAGGAACACGCAGCAGTACACACAGAGGAACACGCAGCTGTACACGCAGCTGTACACGCAGCTGTACACGCAGCTGTACACGCAGCTGTACACGCAGCTGTACACGCAGCTGTACACGCAGAGGAACACGCAGCTGTACACGCAGCTGTACACGCAGCTGTACACGCAGCTGTACACGCAGCTGTACATGCAGAGGAACACGAGGAGAGAGATGTGTTTATCCATCATAAACACATCTCTCCTCTTGTGGTGAAGAGGGAGCAGCGTCTGCTTTCAAAGCTCTCGGTTTACCCCTCCCTCACCCCTGTGTCCTCCTCTCTCCTCTGTGTCCTCCTCTCTCCTCTGTGTCCTCCTCTCTCCTCTGTGTCCTCCTCTCTCCTCTGTAGCTTCCTCTCTCCTCTGTGTCCTCCTCTCTCCTCTGTGTCCTCCTCTCTCCTCTGTGTCCTCCTCTCTCCTCTGAGTCTTTGACACATTTAGGTTTTGCTAAGAAAAGACCTGAGATAGAACAAAGAGAGAGCAACAGCCAATCACAGCGCAGCTCTAAAGCCACACTGCAGCTGTACACGCAGAGGAACACACACAGCTGTACACGCAGCTGTACACGCAGCTGTACACGCAGAGGAACACACACAGCTGTACACGCAGCTGTACACGCAGCAGTACAACGCAGAGGAACACGCAGCTGTACACGCAGCAGTACACGCAGCTGTACACGCAGCTGTACACGCAGAGGAACACGCAGCTGTACACGCAGCTGTACACGCAGAGGAACACGGAGCTGTACACGCAGCAGTACATGCAAAGGAACACGCAGCTTTACACGCAGAGGAACACGCAGCTGTACACGCAGCTGTACACGCAGCTTTACACGCAGAAGAACACGCAGCTGTACACGCAGCTGTACACGCAGAGGAACACGGAGCTGTACACGCAGCAGTACATGCAAAGGAACACGCAGCTGTACACGCAGAGGAACACGCAGCTGTACACGCAGCAGTACATGCAGAAGAACACACAGCTGTACACGCAGCAGTACATGCAGAGGAACACGCAGCAGTACACACAGAGGAACACGCAGCTGTACACACAGCTGTACACGCAGCTGTACACGCAGCTGTACACGCAGCTGTACACGCAGCTGTACACGCAGCTGTACACGCAGAGGAACACGCAGCTGTACACGCAGCTGTACACGCAGCTGTACACGCAGCTGTACATGCAGAGGAACACGAGGAGAGAGATGTGTTTATCCATCATAAACACATCTCTCCTCTTGTGGTGAAGAGGGAGCAGCGTCTGCTTTCAAAGCTCTCGGTTTACCCCTCCCTCACCTCTGGCCAAAGACGAGATCCGAGATCCTTTAGGGACAGACACAGGGGAGGAGCTCAGAGTAGAGCCGTTGCTCAGAGATTCTCCAACGTAACAAATGAAAATGTCCCTTCTGTTACAGAGGAAAGTATCAGATTACTATTATCACATGATTGTGTTTAAAACAGGAGGGTTTGGACAGAAGGGGCGGGGGTCCAGCAGCTGGGATGAGTCTTTGTTTTGTCGACTGAGTTTAATAAAGTTATTGCTCGTTACATTCAGGGTTCAGTGTTTATGGTCAAACACCTTAAAATGATGTATAACACTTCAGAGTCTCAGTTCAGTCTGGTGTCCACTAGGGGGCCACAGAGGGCCTTTGAACTGCAGTGTTGCACATACATTAGTCTGTGTGATTCCTGATGTGCTTCTGTGGCTGCAGCTCCCTCTGGTGGCAGCTCAGGGAGGTACAGGCTGAAACATTACACACATTTCCCACTGACGGCGACAAAGACAATGGTTCCAGTAAAACGTGTGTGACTGAGAAGGCAGGGTCTGGGTCTGGGTCTGGTCTGGGTCTGGGTCTGGGTCTGGGTCTGGGTCTGGTCTGGGTCTGGGTCTGGGTCTGGGTCTGGTCTGGGTCTGGGTCTGGGTCTGGTCTGGGTCTGGTCTGGGTCTGGGTCTGGTCTGGGTCTGGTCTGGGTCTGGGTCTGGGTCTGGGTCTGGGTCCCTGCCTCTCCCTGCCTCTCTCTCGCCTCTCCCTCGCCTCTCCCTCGCCTCTCTCTGCCTCTCCCCGCCTCTCCCTGCCTCTCCCTGCCTCTCCCCGCCTCTCCCTGCCTCTCCCTCGCCTCTCCCCGCCTCTCCCCGCCTCTCCCTGCCTCTCCCTGCCTCCCCCTGCCTCTCCCTGCCTCTCCCTGCCTCTCCCGCCTCTCCCTGCCTCCCCCTGCCTCTCCCCGCCTCTCCCTGCCTCTCCCTGCCTCTCCCCGCCTCTCCCCGCCTCTCCCTGCCTCCCCCCTGCCTCTCCCTGCTCTCTCTGCCTCTCCCTGGCTCTCGCTCGCCTCTCCCTGCCTCTCCTCGCCTGGCTCCCTGCCTCTCCCCGCCTCTCCCTGCCTCTCCCCGCCTCTCCCCGCCTCTCTCTGCCTCTCCCCGCCTCTCCCTGCCTCTCCCTGCCTCTCCCTGCCTCCCCTGCCTCTCCCTGCCTCCCCCTGCCTCTCCCTCGCCTCTCCCCGCCTCTCCCCGCCTCTCCCTGCCTCTCCCCGCCTCTCCCCGCCTCTCCCCGCCTCTCCCCGCCTCTCCCCGCCTCTCCCTGCCTCTCCCCGCCTCTCCCCGCCTCTCCCCGCCTCTCCCTGCCTCCCCTGCCTCTCCCTCGCCTCTCCCCGCCTCTCCCCGCCTCTCCCTGCCTCTCCCTGCCTCTCTCTCGCCTCTCCCTGCCTCTCTCTGCCTCTCCCCGCCTCTCCCCGCCTCTCCCCGCCTCTCCCTCGCCTCTCCCCGCCTCTCCCTGCCTCTCCCCGCCTCTCCCTGCCTCTCCCCGCCTCTCCCCGCCTCTCCCTGCCTCTCCCCGGCTCTCCCTGCCCTCTCCCCGGCTCTCCCTGCCTCTCTCTGCCTCTCCCCGCCTCTCTCTGCCTCTCCCTCGCCTCTCCCCGCCTCTCCCCGCCTCTCCCTCGCCTCTCCCCGCCTCTCCCCGCCTCTCTCTGCCTCCCCCGCCTCTCCCCGCCTCTCCCTGCCTCTCCCCGCCTCTCCCTCGCCTCTCCCCGCCTCTCCCCGCCTCTCTCTGCCTCTCCCCGCCTCTCCCTCGCCTCTCCCCGCCTCTCCCTGCCTCTCCCCGCCTCTCCCTCGCCTCTCCCCGCCTCTCCCCGCCTCTCCCTGCCTCTCTCTGCCTCTCCCCGCCTCTCCCCGCCTCTCCCTGCCTCTCCCCGCCTCTCCCCGCCTCTCCCCGCTCTCGCTCGCCTCTCCCTGCCTCTCCTCCCTGCCTCTCCCTGCCTCTCCCTGCCTCTCCCTCGCCTCTCCCCGCCTCTCCCTGCCTCTCCCTCGCCTCTCCCCGCCTCTCCCTGCCTCTCCCCGGCTCTCGCTCGCCTCTCCCTGCCTCTCTCTGCCTCTCTCTGCCTCTCCCCGCCTCTCCCCGCCTCTCCCTCGCCTCTCCCCGCCTCTCCCCGCCTCTCTCTGCCTCTCCCCGCCTCTCCCCCCGCCTCTCCCCGCCTCTCCCTGCCTCTCCCCGCCTCTCCCTCGCCTCTCCCCGCCTCTCCCCGCCTCTCTCTGCCTCTCCCCGCCTCTCCCTCGCCTCTCCCCGCCTCTCCCCGCCTCTCCCCGCCTCTCCCCGCCTCTCCCCGCCTCTCCCTCGCCTCTCCCCGCCTCTCCCCGCCTCTCCCTGCCTCTCCCCGCCTCTCCCCGCCTCTCCCTGCCTCTCCCCGCCTCTCCCCGCCTCTCCCGGCTCTCGCTCGCCTCTCCCTGCCTCTCCCTGCCTCTCCCCGCCTCTCCCCGCCTCTCCCCGCCTCTCCCTGCCTCTCCCCGCCTCTCCCTGCCTCTCCCTGCCTCTCCCTGGCTCTCGCTCGCTCTCTCCCTGCCTCTCCCTGCCTCTCTCCGCCTCTCCCCGCCTCTCCCCGCCTCTCCCCGCCTCTCCCTGCCTCTCCCTGCCTCTCCCTGCCTCTCCCTGGCTCTCGCTCGCCTCTCCCTGCCTCTCCCTGCCTCTCCCTGCCTCTCCCTGCCTCTCTCTGCCTCTCCCGCCTCTCCCTGCCTCTCCCTGCCTCTCTCTGCCTCTCCCTCGCCTCTCCCTGCCTCTCTCCGCCTCTCCCTGCCTCTCCCTGCCTCTCCCCCGCCTCTCCCCGCCTCTCCCTGCCTCTCCCCGCCTCTCCCTGCCTCTCCCTCGCCTCTCCCTGCCTCTCCCCGCCTCTCCCCGCCTCTCCCTGCCTCTCCCTGCCTCTCCCCGCCTCTCCCCGCCTCTCCCTGCCTCTCCCTCGCCTCTCCCTGCCTCTCCCTGCCTCTCCCTGCCTCTCCCCGCCTCTCCCCGCCTCTCCCCGCCTCTCCCCGCCTCTCCCCGCCTCTCCCTCGCCTCTCCCTGCCTCTCCCTGGCTCTCGCTCGCCTCTCCCTGCCTCTCCCTGCCTCTCTCCGCCTCTCCCCGCCTCTCCCTGCC